ACTATCGCCCAGTTCTGCCACCTATCGCCCAGTTCTGGGATCTTAAAAAGTGGGAGGCACATATACAAACTGTTGTAATTCCTACACCGTTCACCTGATTTGGATGTAAATACCCTCAAATTTAAGCTGACGGTCTGCAGTTAAAGCACATCTTGTTTGTTTCATTTCAAACCCATTGTGTTGGTGTATAGAGTCAAAAAGATTAGAATTGTGTCGATGTCCCAATATTTATGGACCTGAATGTATATGCTTCTGAGGGTCTAAGTCTGTTTTTTAACTCTAATATGGGTAATTTTAGAAATGGGGGTACTAGATGTCTTACCTGTAAATACTTTTGTCATGGTGTTACCCAATTTGTATCCACATTGGGGGAGGATAAGTTTATGGTCAAACAAAGGATAAATTGTAACTCCTCGTTTCTTGTTTATTTACTTACCTGCACTTCACTATGTAGGACAAACCACAAGATCCATAAAGATTTGAATTAAGGAACACCATTTGGCTATCTTACATAAAGATAAAAAATCCCCCGTCACTTCCAACTAGCCCATGAGAGTGATCCCTCTCACATATCGATTATGGGGATAGAATCAATTTCTAAGTTTAACGATATGACTAAGAGAAAAATAATTCTCAGTGCAGCAGAAACTAAATGGATTTTCAAATTAAATTCACTTAAACCAAATGGTTTAAATGAAGAGTTAGATCAAGCTTTTTAAATGTTAGATTTGAACATATCCATAATTTTTATCCGTGTTACATTTCATCTATATTACTCTTTGCTCTTTTATAGTTGTGGAGTTAAATTGAGTTGTTTCTTGGCTGCTTTAGGTCATAGTAAGTAGCAAGGCCAGTGCATGGATTATTGCCGCCCTAGGCAACAATTCATTTTGCCGCCCCATCATGGATGCAACTGCATTCCCTCAGAGGTTTTTTTCACTAAACTCTGAATTGCAGTAAGGAGGGAAGGAGACGCACTGGGTAGACATTAAGTGAAAGCAGACACACACACACACACACATCCTAATACATACATTCATACACTCATACTGCCTAATACATATATCCATAAAATCATACTGCGTAAAAACATACATCAATGCATTTGTTGGGATTTAATTTATTATACTGGTGGGATTTAATTTTACGTTACAGTGAACTTTAAATAAAACATTTTTTTTCAGTTACAAATTCCCTATGGCTACAAATTCCCTATGGGAAAGCATTGGATTGGCTAAAAATCGGCCATTTTGATGATTTCATAAAGGGGGCAGAGCCAGCACCGGTGGACCAGCACACTGCTGCAAATAAGGTGAGTTTTAAACATTTATAGGGAGGTTAAGGGGGCAAGTACACCTAAATGGTGGGTTTAGCACTATAGGGTCAGGAATACGTTTGTGTTCCTGACCCTATAGTGATCCTTTAATCCTTCTTCCTGTTAGCTAACTCTGATTTCATGTAGATTTCTGCAGGGATGGTATTGCACGCTACCACTTGGTAACTGAGAAATTTAACTAGCAGACTTCACATCTAGCTCTAAACCCGTCATGATTCCCTTTTATTTCTGAAGTTGTGTCCTTAAGGGGTTAATTGAGGGTATAGGCTACCAGTGCCGTTATATGGTAGCTGAGGTATCTTTACTTAGTGTTGACAATTTCTACCATAGGATTATAATCCTCTATATACTATAATTATTCTTAGGAGTCTTAAGCATAATATTTATTTAGGCTTTATTTCCACTTCTGGACTGCCACCACCTTACTGAGACACTAAGCTAGCATATGTATTATCTATTTAGGAACTAGTTATCGCAGGCTATCAATTATTGTTTTGGTAGCTGACGTATTCGAACTTCATCAGCTAAGTGTTTTAATTTGACACACTGATATATTTAGAAATTGCTTGTATTTTACATTTTTACTACGTTATTTACTACTTTCAAATTTTCTCTCTCTAACAGCAAGAACAAAAAAGGGAGTCAATTGATTGATCAATTGTAAGCTCACCATTTCCTTTCATTTTTCCCTTTATTTAGTTCTTTATTTTTGTAGTGCATAGCAAAACGAACTAGAGTAGACATTTCTCAAAAGTCATGAACAATAGGCATAGATATATCATGAGTTGTTGAGGATACTGAAATTTTTATAGTAATACAAATAAACATCTGGAGAACAGGTCTAAGCTGAAGAGGCGAAGAAAGAGAGAAACATGCTGAAGCATAGATCTGCATTTAAAGACCATTCAAGATGTATTTGGACACATAGAGGGTTAAGACAGGGAGTAACATCCCAGATAGTGGTCGTGCGCCCTGATAAATGCTGATAAAGGCAACCCACTCCCTGCGCTGATAGGGCAGAGTCACGTTTTTCCCTTTTTTTTTTTATTAGTGGGTGATCCAATATTACACAATTTGATATATTTTGAAATTGTTGTATTTTGACTATTTCCAATATTCCTAGTCACACTTTTTTCATATTTGAAAAATCACTTTTTTAAAATTAAATTACTCCTGCTGCTGCTAGAGCATTGTTTTTTCAAACCCTGAATGTTGGTCACTCATTCTACATACTGGATAGCTGGGCCATAAAAGAGATGGGTGGGTCATAAATTGCTAACAAATTTTTTCTTTCATTTTTTGAAATATTTAATTTTACTAATCTCTTGCATTGACCATAAAACACCATCGTTATAACACTTGAACTAGCTGTGGTAAAATTAGTGGTCCCATCTCTAAAAAAAATATATAGATTAGTGAATGGTTCTTATTAGGTATAGTTTGCAATTATCAACTGATATCTAATGGCTGAGTTAGCCATGTATGGAGCAATATTGTATAACTAGACCATTTATTTAGGTGCATGTACTGAGTTATTGAGGTTACTATGTTGATATGGAAATTGACACATGTAGTATTTGTAATCTATGTTTAATCTGAAATATTTAGCACTTTAAGGATTACTTGCATACAACGAATGTTTATTACAATTGGTATTGATACACCTAGTGTTTTGGATAATGTGTGTATGAATGTACACATGTAATTTTTAATCATTATTGTGATTAACTCCCTTCTTTTCTGATTGTGCCTTTTGTTTACAACATGTTATCTTGTCCATGGTAGTAACTTTGCTTTAGATATTGACTCTTTTATTTTTTTATTCTTCCTGCTGTAGAACTTGGTAGCAAGTGTTAAACAAGATGTCTGAGTTTTACAGCACTAAATTAGTTATTTGTATACATGGGGCTGATTTAGTCCTCTGAGTTTCTATCTTTAAATTGAGGTGTGCTCCCTCATTAGTTTCACTTATGAATAATTGTGGATTCACTGCACGTAACATGCTAGGTGGTTTGACTGTTTCTCTGTAAGTGCACCTCAGTTGTATACAGTGGTGTATCCTGATTTTGTGCTGCCCTAGGCAGGACAAAACTCAGGCACCCCCCCCCGCGCAACCGACACCCAACCTTCCCCCCTGCTCCGCCTTCTAAATACACACACACACACATTCACTGACAGATACGCATTCACTAGCTAACAGAAACACACACTCACTAACAGACACACACTCACACACTCACTAACAGACACACACACTCACAGGCACACACACACACACACTAACAGGCAAACACACACACTAACAGACATCCACACTAACAGACACACACACACACTAACATTAACACTAACAGACACACACACTAACACACACACACACTAACATACACACACTAACATACATACACACACTAACATACACACACTAACACTAACATACATACACACACTAACATACACACTAACACTAACATACATACACACACTAACATACACACACTAACATACATACACACACTAAAATACACACACTAACATACATCCACACACTAACATACACACACTAACACTAACATACATACACACACTAACATACACACACTAACATACATACACACACTAACATACACACACTAACACTAACATACATACACACACTAACATACATCCACACACTCACTAGTGTTTTTTTTTTTATTACCTTTGGTAATGCTGGGGGGGGGTTCTTCCTCTCCCTGGGGTCCAGTGGCTGCAGGGCGGGCGGGCGGCCAGCGAGGGAGCTCTTCCCCTGAGCGCTCTGCTCAGCTCCCTCGCGCGCCGCCAGCAGAGTGAGGCTGGGAGCCGGAATATGACGTCATCAACCCGGCTCCCAGCCTCACTCTGCTGGCGGCGCGCGAGGGAGCTGAGCAGAGCGCTCAGGGGAAGAGCTCCCTCGCCGGCCGGCCGCCCGCCCGCCCAGCGCTGCAGCCACTGCCGCCCAGCGCCCAGAATGTCTGTTAGCCGCGAGGCTAACAAGACATTTGCCTTGGGCATTTGGGGGGCGGCGTTTTTTGCCGCCCCCTGAAAAATGCCGCCCAAGGCAAATTCCTTGTTTGCCTCGCGGCTAATACGCCCCTGGTTGTATATACAGATTTTTACATTTAATGTAATAAATATTAATATTATTATTGTTGAAGCCATTATAAAAATTCAGTGTACATAAAACTCAGTGGAAACTTAAGCCAAGGGCCAATAAATCCCATCAATTCACATGGTAAGTGTCAAGTAAAATGTCCGTTATGGGAATCAGTGTAAGAAGCCAAATCGGCTTAAGTAACTGCGGTATTATGATAGAGTGGGGAACAGTGGAAATGGTCAAAAGTCGGGACAAGTAAGTGAATCCACTGAATGAAAGGGAATCAATAGATTTCAAGCATGTTGTGTTTTCATCGGCTGATATCCTTGTTATGCAAGTTTCAGTAATTACAAAGACAATTTAAACAATTTAATAAGAAGAAAATACATTTATGCATTTGATTGTAATGGTCTCTAGCTCTTTTTAGAAATTAATTACTTTAGAGTATTCACAAAGCTTACATACAGCTATAAATGGAGAACTTGTGACATGTTTAGATTTATTTACAGGCATTAGTTCAACTCTGTAAATTCTTTTCTGAATAACTCTCTGTGTATATTTCTTTTATGTCTCAGTCTGTCCTGTACTACCTTTTCTTCATACAATTTTTACCCAGACATACCTTATTTTATTTCATCTGACTTTTACTTTCACCTTGATTAGCAAAATTCTTAACTCTGGGAATTAATCATTGTATCTCAAAGAGTGAACAAAATACTCAATCCAATTATAGGAACTTCCAATGTTTCTTTTTTATTTGAAAGATCAGCCAAAATAAGGTAGTTGACTATTCAAAGTTAAATATGTAGCACTAGCAAGTATCCGCAACCATTCTGAATGATCCAACTCTAGCATCGGAAGCACCCCAATCACTGAACTTCCTGTATTCTCCAGGTTTGAGATAGTACTGTCTTCCTTTGTAAGAAGGCTGCTCATAGAAGATCCAGTAACCTTGCAGTACACTGCAGGAAAATATATTTTGATAAAGGAAGCGATCATACACAGAGGGGCAATCTTCTGTAAACTCCATCATCTGGCCTCTAAATTCATCTCTTTCATAGATCTTAAGCTGATGGCTTCCTTTGTACTGTAAAAAATGTATATACAAAAGTCAGAGAACAGGTGAAAAAATGAAAAGACATATAAGATGATGTAATTATGGCATAGTTCAAAAGGGAGGAGAGACTTGAAGAAAATGTGCATGGTATGAAATAGCATGAAACAGCTTCATTAAAAAAAAAAAAAAAAATCTTTAAACCTTTCAAAATTCTCCTTAAAAGATGAGGTTCTAGGTACCTCAGGCAAATTAATAAATGCACATATAATACAGCTTAAACAACTGGCTTGTGTTTCCGCCATGTCTCATTGTGCCACCTACATTGTTAAACAAAAGTCTGATAGTTTTATTTTTATTTGTGTTTATCTGGTGGCTTTATTTAGGACAGTCCCTTCAGAGTCCAATTACAGTTTTCACATTTTTTTATAACAGCAAGATAATTCTTCCTGATTCATATATTTATTCTTTTAGAAAACAGATAAAATGGCATTAGTTCTAGATCCCAACATACAAAATGGAAGTCATTAAGTGAAATCTTCATGAACCACATGTCAAAATGTCTCTCTAGATATATATAAATATATATCGAGAGACATATCTCTCTTTCTCTCTCTCTCTCTGATATATATATATATATAGAGAGAGAGAGCGCTATAATTCTTCTTCAAATGTATATTTATTATATTTTTCAAAATGTCTGCATGATAGTGTATATATGTTTATTTATTACCAAGGAGCGTATTAAGCCTATTAATTGAACAATTTCAATGTGTATATATTTATTAACAAATACATCTATATGTATATGTGTATGTAAGAACATTCTTATATTGTTTATGTTTTCAGCTTGTAACATTGGAATGACAATATTAAATACTTATATTGAATAATGCTTTTTTAAGGAAGCTGTCAGATAAACAAAAAATGAGTTTCTTCACAATAATTAAAAGACTTGTGAAAAAATTGTCTGAAAGACAAACAAATTACTTGATGATCGAAACAAACAAACAAACAAACAAACAAACAAACAAACAAATAAATAAAATCCTGTAAAAAAATCAACCATACAATTGATTTATTTGTTCTATTATTCACGTGGTGGGAACAGTAAGCCCCCACCTCGTAGTTTTACTGTGAAGAGAATGCGATGGAAAGTAGTATTGCTTCCCCACTGCTTCAAACTCCCATTCCCTATGCTGTGGAATTGTGTGTTAATAATTTAATAAAGGACCTAGTTCACTTATTAAAGGCTGGTGTGGTGTTAATAAGGGAACTAATAAGGAACAGAGCGTTTCAACACTTCTAACTTTCATCCCTTAAGCTTTGTGATAGGAGGTGACTGCATTTTGAGGTGGTACTTGCCAAATGTTCTCCCAAGGAGGAGAACTCCCATGACCTCTCGCTTCTCCAAGTCCCAATCATTAGACAGAATAGAAAAATTTACATTTGAAATGGAAATTATGATATCAGTATCTTTTCAAAAAAATATTTTAAAATATCTAAAAATGATAATTTGTACATTTTTAAAGAGTATATTTCTTACAGAAGGGAGTAAGGCCACCCTTGGGAAAGGTGAACAGGGCATTTGGACTGAATCCCAGTTTTTCAGGAGACCTGCAATCTCTCGCTGTCCAGTTTAAGCAGCTAAACCTCAGATTTAAAAAGAATCATGGTTATTTACTAAAGGGAGAATTCAAAGTGAATTCAAAGAGAATTCATTTTTTTTTTGTCTAATACGTGAAGCAAAAGTAACTTACTGTTTGGCTATATTGACCTTAAATTTTAAACCCACCATGAATTCACGTATTGTCCCTAACTGAACAACAAGTCTTGTAAAGTTTCTTTGAAAATAAATGTGTAGACTTCGGTAGTGTGCTATTTACAAGCTCTGATCTGCTGAGACAGGTTTATTCCAGATGTTGCAGTGGCTGCTCCAATATTAAGTGGTGACATATACATTGTAAATGTTACCTTTATTGATGTGCATGTCTTTTAGATGTTGCAAGAGTATGGAGAACTAACCATCTCTAACAGGACATCGCTACTGTAAGTACTCTAAACATTTTCAATTTCATAGTTGTATTATCAACTTAGGGATGTTTTCACCAAAGCTAGTTATTTGGACTGTGAGTGTAAAGGTGAGCTGTCAGTGTTCACTGACTGTTTAAGTACCTTTACGGTGGTAAATATTTGTTTCTTTTATTAGATTGTGTCTATATATGTGTGTGTTTGTGCTAGCATGTGTCTATGTGTATGTTGTTGATAGTTTGGTGGGTCTGGCAAGTTATGTATGTGTGTACAGTGAGGGACAAAAGTATTTGATCCCCTGCTGATTTTAAACGTTTGCATATTGACAAAGAAATGATCAGTCTATAATTTTAACGGTAGGTGTATTTTAACAGTTAGAGACAGAATAACAAAAACAAAAAAAATCCAGAAAAATGCATGTCAAAAAAGGTAAAAATTGATTTGCATGTCAAAGAGTGAAATAAGTATTTGACCCCTTTGACTTAGTACTTGTTGGCAAAACCCTTGTTGGCAATCACAAAGGTCAGACGTTTCTTGTAGTTGGCCGCCAGGTTTGCACACATCTCAGGAGGGATTTTGTCCCACTCCTCTTTGCAGATCCTCTGCAAGTCATTAAGGTTTCAAGGGTGATGTTTGGCAACTCAAACCTTCTGCTCCCTCCACAGATTTTCTATGGGATTAAGTTCTGGAGACTGGCTAGGCCACTCCAGGAACCTTAATGTGCTTCTTCTTGAGCCACTCCTTTGTTGCCTAGGCTGTGTGTTTTGGGTAATTGTCATGCTTAAAAACCCATCCATGACCCATTTTCAATGCCCTGGCTGAGGAAAGGAGGTTCTCACCCAAGATTTAATGGTACATGGCCCTGTCCATTGTCCCTTTGATGCAGTGCAGTTGTCCTGTACCCTTAGCAGAAAAACAACCCCAGAGCATAATGTTTCCACCTGCATGTTTGGCGGTGGTGATGGTGTTCTTGAGGTCATAGGCAGCATTCCTCCTCCTCCAAACATAGCGAGTTGGATTGATGCCAAAGAGCTTGATTTTGGTCTCATCTGATCACAACACCTTTACCTAGTTCTCCTCTGAATCATTCAGATGTTCATTGGCAAACTTCAGATGGGCCTGTACATGTGCTTTCGTGAGCAGTGGGACTTTGCGGGTGCTGCAGGATTTCAGTTTTTCACAGCGTAGTGTGTTACCAATTGTTTTCTTGGTGACTATGATCCCAGCTGCCTTGAGATCATTAACAAGATCCTCCTGTGTAGTTCTGGGCTGATTCCTCACCATTCTCATGATCACTGAAACTCCACAAGGTGAGATCTTGCATGGAGCACCAAACCGAGGGAGACTGACCGTTATTTTGTGTTTCTTCCATTTGCAAATAATCGCACAAACTGTTTTCACCTTCTCACCAAGCTGCTTGGCTATGGTCTTGTAGCTTATTCCAGCCTTGTGTAGGTCTACAATCTTGTCCCTTGATAAAGCTTGATAAAGACCTGGGTACAGGTTGAAACGTTGCGGATCCAATAAAACTGCCTTGAACATATCACAGTGAGTGTCTGAGACTTTTTCTTTTGCAATCTTGTCCCTGACATCCTTGGACAGCTCTTTGGAGAGTTTGGAATCTGATTGATTGCTCCTGTGGACAGGTGTCTTTTATACAGGTAACAAGCTGAGATTAGGAGCACTCCCTTTAAGAGAGTGCTCTTAATCTCAGTTCGTTACTTATATAAAAGACACCTGGTAGCCAGAAATCTTGCTGATTGATAGGGGATCAAATAATTATTTCACTCATTGACATGCAACTCAATTTATAACTTTTTTGGCATGCATTTTACTGGATACATTTTTTTGTTATTCTGTCTCTCACTGTTAAAATACACCTACCAATAAAATGATAGACTGATTATTTCTTTGTCAGTGGACAAATGTTCAAAATCAGCAGGGAATAAAATACTTTTTTCTCTCACTATATGACTGTGTGGACACAATTGATAAGAATGAAGGCAAAATATATGAATGCAAAAATGTGTTAACTCTTTACTGGTCAAGTCTTATGGGCCTTTTATACCTTTGTTCAATGACACCTTATTTGTAAGAACTCACTTTTGGTACCAAACGACAAGATTTAACAGAATCACTGAGACTTGTCCAACACTGAAAGTCTGGATATTCTCCATTCTTCAGAAAGTACTGCTCTCCCATGTAACTAGGCCGCTCATATACAATCCAGCATCCATCATCTACCTTGATAGATTTACAATGACTGAAGTGAGGATGGAGGTCAGGCTGGTCTGTATGGTATTCATAGGATTTGCCTTTAAAATGCTTATCTTCGTAGAAGGTGATCTAAAAAAGGAAATGATATAAAGCAAAACTTTTATTAAAGGAAGGTGGCCGTTTTTTATAACAAGACAGGAATATAAACTGTGATTGGAGATTTGGTTCCTCGTAACCTGATTGTATTTCTTCCTTTAGAATGACTAAAATTGTATGATCCTCATTTGAAATTTTGGTTAAATGAGTAATCATGGCAAATTTTACAGATATTGTTTGGCCCTATAACTTTTTTTGGTCTGAATGATATCCATCATCATTCAACAAAGTAAACATAATCTAAGAGACTTAGATAGAGAAATTAATACAATAATAGATTGATTAAAACCAGTGGTAGGTTGTCCTGAAATAGAGAATTCTCTAAAAAATTTAAAGAATAGTGTAGAAAAAGTGGAACAAGAAACTTTGATTATCAAAAAGAGAAAATTTTATAGGGTTCTAAACGATTATGCCCATGCTCGATTACCCCCAAAAAAGTGGTAATCGCCCTCCATCTTACAAAATATATGCGGATAAACAATCAACCCCCCCCAAAATCTATCTAATAAAATTCCGTCTAAAGACCAAAAGAAAGTTCTTAGTAGGTGTTTAAAGTTTGCACCCAAATGTTTGAAAAATCTGTTTATTATTTTTACTGATCACCAAAAATTCACTTGTAAAATGTGTCTCACAAATTATTTTAGTAAACATCCCCCACATAAAGAAATAGAAGAAACTTTGAGTTTTATACATACCGATTTAAGAAACAAATCTACATTTTCTCCAAGAAATTAAATAAGTGGAGCCAGGGCCAGATTAACATTAAAGCTGATGCAACTCCAGGCCCACTGATTTAAAAAAAAAAAATTTTTTACACACTACTCTTCACATACTCTCGCTTAAGTATGGAAACTTAAGAGGGATGTAGGGGAACAAAACTTGTGTGGACTGACTAATTCGTTAAGGAAATCCTGACTTTGGTCTCTCTAACACTGTGGCATATCCTCTTTCTTCTACACTCACTACATACACCTTTTCTCTGTCCCAGCCTATATACTAGGAGCTTCTGCCTGCTAGTAAGAAGGTAAGGGAATGAGTGGACATATGAGCGCTGGGGGACAGTCCTCAGAAAGCATGGTGCGAACGCATCATTGGGTGCATTTATGCCAAGTTCAGGGTGCTGTCTGCATAGTACGATATTAGTTGGCCAGCCTGCATGATTGGCAGGCAGCCTGACATGAATTCCCAACAGACTGGCCTTTCAATTCTTTGGGAAGACATGCCTTTTTTTGGGGGAGGGGGGGGGCGGTTTGTCTCTTTCAACGGTTCTGGTTATGTGATTTGCATCAGTGGCACACCCTTTTACCCAACCCATTGATGCTTCACTGGACATTGCTGTTAGGGGGCATGAATTTACGTGAAAGATGAAAGTGAGAGATTAGCATAGGGTATGAGTTTCCCTCTGGCAGCACCTCTCTCAGATAAATAACGCTTGGGAGATGACTGTTTTAGTGTTTTTGGTCGATAAGATTCTGTAATTAGGCACATCATAATTGTCAGCACAAGGCCCAATTGGCTCTTAATCTGGCCCTGAGTGGAGCAATGCAAATATTTGAGGCTCTAGTCATGGAAAAAATTAAGAAAATCCCTACAAATCATAAGAATAAAAATAATAACTTCAGCTATTCCAAAAGGAAAGCTTCAATGGAGCTACAAAATGATGAAAGTCCTATTATAAAGCCAGTGGACAAGGGAGGGGGTCATAGTTCTTTAAAATAGGGAAGACTATGTTCAAGAAATTAATTGACAATTGAATGACCCCATTATATATAAAAAAATGACTATCAATCCATCAGAAGCAATTAAGATAAAATACCATGATTTTGTTGATAGGGATAGATCATTAAATATTTTAAAGAATGAGAAATATGAATATTTAAACGTCCAAATAAATATATAAGATCCCAGTTTTTTTTTATACCCTCTCTAAAATTCATAAAGATCCTAATAACCCCCCTGGCAGACCCATTGTGGCTGGTGTGGGTTCCCTCTTGAGTCACCTGTCACAACATTTTGACAGGCAACTAAAACCTTTAGTTGCCCACCTATCTGAAGGATTCCACCCAACTCATTAGGTAACTATAGGAAGTCTGGTTGGGGGATGATTGTTTATTACTCACCTATGACATCAGCAGCCTCTATACTATCATTTCACATCAGTTAGGATGTGAGGCTGTTGAATATTTTTTACGGTTGAGAAAGATTCCTAATGCGCAAATTAATTTTATAATGGTGGGTATTAATCTTATTTTATATCACAACTTTTTTTGGTTTGAGGTGTCTTTCTACAACTTTTTGGTACTGCGATAGGAATCAAATTCACACCCAGCTATACTAATTTATTCATGTCCTTGTGGGAATAATCTTTCCTTGAGGGGGACAATAGCTGGGGTGAGGGTTTGGTTCTCTATTGTAGGTACATTGACAACATTTTTTTCATTTGGAAAGGGGATGTTACTACATTAAAATGTTTTATAGAAGTTTTGAATAACAACCAAAAGAATATAGTTTTAACGTGTGAATTCAGTCCATTTAAGGTAAATTTTTTAGACTTCGTGATCTACATACAAGATTCCTAGATAAAAACTAAAATATTTTAAAAAAAAGTTGATGTCAATACTTTCATTGACACAACTAGTTGTCATTATGAACCTTGGTTAAAGAAAATACCCAAAGGAAAGTTTGTGAGAGTTTTGAAAAACTGCAGTGATCCACAAAAATTTGATGCACAAACAAATCTTTAAAAAACTAATTTTATAGAGAAGAAATATAAACCAACAATTTTAGATGAATAATTAAAGGAGGTAAAATTGTATGATAGAGCGGAAGCCCTGAAATACAAAAATAAAGTCCAGAAAAATTCCAAAATAGACAATAAATGCATTGCCATTGTCCTGGATATACGGTGGTAATAAATATTGGCATATTTTAAAAACAGATAGTGAGGTCAAAGTTATATTAGGAGACAGACTGAACATTATCTTTAGAGGGGCCAGTAATGTAAGAAGTAGCTAGTGAGGAGTTTTATTAAACCACATAAGGCAATTAATAAGAATTTGTTTAATCAACAACCAGGTTTGTACTCTGCAAGATGTGTTTGGCTTTCAAATTCAAATCTTATGTGTCGGGTAAAAGTTTTAAGATTAAAGATATTTTAACTTGCCTTACTGTGAATGTTGTGTATCTCCTCTGGTGTCCCTGTGGGCTTCAATAAGTGGGTATGACCACTAGAAGTTTTAAGACCTGCATTTTGGAGAACATGGGTGTGACAAACTCCCCTGTCCTTGTGAGTTTGCCACGAGCTCCTGGAGGAGCCTGCTTGCCAGCCTTATGGGGACTTAGCCATAAAAGCCCTGGAACTATTTCCGTCATAAAGACTTTGCAGATCCCGGTCGGTACCAGCGGCACTTAGCCGCAATTCTATGGAACTATTTCTGGCTAGGGGACCATGTGTGCGGTTGGTCCTATGGGAAAGCTTTGTGATAGGCTGAGATCATCAATTCTGATAATGTCAGCCAAGGAGTCACATCAGGGGCAGAGCTAGTGCCGACTAATCCGCGTGGTGCTGGAATAAAGGTAAGTTTTTACTTACCTTTAAAGGGGCCAATCAGGGGCTAAATAATTTGTTTAACCCCTTAAGGACACAACTTCTGGAATAAAAGGGAATCATGACGGAATATTTCCATCATGTGTCCTTAAGGGGTTAACAATATAGGCTAATACATGTTTACACATTTACACTATACGGTCAAGAACACAAACGGAATACATGTTTGTGTTCCTTACCCTATAATGTTCCTTTAACCTTAAATAACCCTAATCCTAGCTAAATCTAAACCATTTTGACAGATTAACACAGTGTTCTAATCTTCGGCAGGCTTCTACAGCTATTTCTTTGTTAGATTCAACAGTCTAATACAGCACTGATTCACAGTTGATGTTGGCATATGATGACTGTGTTATACTGTTTTGGGGGTGAGACCTGTGATTTGCTGAAATTTAAACAGTTGCTGCATCCTGTATGTTGACTGTTAGTAAGTGTTTACAACTTACAGGGTATGTCACAAATCCATAACAAAGGGGTTACATATTAGACATGTGCAAATATTCGTTATTCATTAAGTGTCTATAAATTGTAATTCCTTGCAATTCTCTATTTGGGAAATATGGCAAAGATATAGTGGATAATCCAGAACATTTACAACATTCACTCATTCTGCATCAGAGTGGAGTACAATTAATTAAATAAACAATTAAAAGAAAAATCTATAGTTCTAGTGGAACTTTTTTTTTAAAACGTGCTCACTAGTTACATTTTCTATTTCATTATAAGAGTTGATTGCACACAAGGTCCTAGAACAGATTTAATCAGAACATATTTCTGGCTTCCACATTATGTCTTTCTATATGTCAATATTCATTTTTCTTGGTTTATATTTTTCAAAAATGTTTGGGGACAATTGAGTTTGAATCTAGCATCTATGCTACAACTTATTACCCCTAACTTTCTGAAATCTGATCATTTTCTTTTCACATTAGCTTTTCTGAGTTCAATGATTTTTAAGGAAACATATATTTACAGGCATACCTTACAAATACGGCAGTTTAGGTAACAAACCACCACTTTTTTTTCATTTTAAAAGTGCATATAAAAGCCTTAAAACCCGTTTACATGATCAAACATTATATCCTTTGGCCTTCACAGTGAAAAAATCTCTTCAAAACTTTACCTAAAACTAGGTGCCCTGTACAGAAACAAATCCTGCCTAAGCCCTACAGTAAGGAAACAGATAGTGCAACAAATGCTGATGCCGATCATTGATTATGGGGATGTAGTGTATGCACCAGCACCGCAAACCCACCTTAATAAACGTAATACATTATATAATTAATTCTGCTGCTTTGTACTAGAATGTAATTACTTTACCCACCACTGTGACATGTTAAAAGAGCTAAACTGGCTGTTGCTGGAATCCCAACGTACTCATCATCTTTCCAGCCTTGTGCATAAGAGCATTTCTGGGAAGCTCCCACCCTATCTGAGTAGAATGCTCTCCTTGGCTGTTCCCACCTCTGATAACCTCCGATCCAGTACCAGCACGATATTTAGCATACCGCAATACAAAAAAAAGTGGCTCGATCCTCCTTTTCCTACAGAGCACCGCAATTATGGAATAACCTCATGGACACAGTCAAATCTTCATTCAATCTAAAATCTTTTAAGAGATCTATGGCAATATACCTCAGCACAGAATGCACCTGGCATGGTTGAATATATTTATTACCTGTTATGTATTAAATGTAAATATGTTTATATATATATATATATATATATATATATATATATATATGTAGATAGTGATGAGCACCAGTGGCGTACATACCAGGGTTGCAGAGATTAAAACATGAAGTTTATTGATTATTAAAAATATATACGATCGACGTTTCAGTCCCAATAGGGACTTTCCTCAGGATCAGGCTGATCCTGAGGAAAGTCCCTGCTGAGACTGAAACGTCGTATATATTTTTAATGGATAATCAATAAACTTCACGTTTTAATCTCTAAAGACCAAGAGTGCTGATCACTATCTACATATATTTCAAATTTTTCCTGGATTTCAAGCACCCGGCAAACATTCTACCTAAGCGTGAGTGCAAGGACTTTCTATACTTTGTTATATAATGAAAGTCCTGAACTGGGACTGAAACATTGACCTTTGGCACATCATTTTTACTTTGATGTAAGAATAAAAGTTACTTTTTAAACGGAGCCTGGAGTGCGGGCCATCTGTTGAATTTTATGGATATCTATGACCTGGATCCAGCACCCAGCATATAAGCCAACACACCATTGAAGCATGTAGTGCAAGGAAGATTGAGACATATATATATATATATATATATATATATAAAACATATATACATCATATATATATATATATATATATATATATATATATAGATATATATATATTGTTTGTATATTGTATTTTTTGTAATATTGTATCCTATTGTAACAATGCAATGATTTGTGGACCCAGGACATACTTGAAAACAAGAGAAATCCCAATGAATCCATCCTGGTAAAATATTTTATAAATAAATAAATAAATGTTTATTAAATGTCCTATAGTTCTAGACCAAAAACAAAGTGAATATAAAAATAATAAATACAAAATACTACCACAGTATATACTATTAACCCTAAAATATTGAAGATAACGGAAATTAATTATCTGAATATAACTGAAAAGCATTGTACTAGCGAATCGCCACAAATTGAAATACTGTAAGTCAAGGTGCTGTAGTTGATTAATGACCTTCTAACATTCAATCAGAATAATCACCCCCAATCCTTACTGTAAACTATTTGAAAGTTCTATTGGGTAAGGTTCTTAAATATTTAGGGCTACACTGTGCATTGTATAGAATAAACTAAACAGTGATAAAAGTATTTACTACCATTTTGTTTTCCATCTACGTAATCAGTCTGCAGGCATGTTGCAAACAAATCAAAAGTACCCTATTTACTAGAATATCAAAGAATTCCATATTTGCCCTTAAAAAGATTATACTTGCAATAAATATACATTGCAAAACTGCATTCAATTGGTATATCAGGGATATATATCAACTCATAAGACTGCCTTCTTTCAATCCAAAACTAGTAGATATTTTAAATCTGTCCAAACATGGTTATGTATATAGATGCCTATAAAAACAGGAGCTGAACAATATTCTTACCTTTCCCATTTTGGCTGCACTATAAAACCTCAGTAGCGTATTATGGCCCTGCAGCCTTTATATACATTGTAGAGTGCTGTGTCTGTAGAAACAGAACAAATGAATTGTAATTGGGAGAATACATGGCTTTTCTTTGATCATTGTAGTTTATTTATAGTACAATCCCTAGCTTTTATTTCTAAGTGGGGAGATGGGAAAACATTTGACTAATACATAGCTCTAGGTACTGAGTCGATCAGCCAGATCTTATCTATTTTAACCATTTCTCTAATTTTTCTATAAGAATAATTCTGTGTAAATATATATATATATATATATATATATATATATATATATATATATATAGTAGAGAAAAGCAGGCTGCACTCACGGACTTAAGAATTCAAAAGTGGTGTTTTATTCCATCAAAAAGTAGAAGACAATCGGGGCGGAGCCTGACGACCAACCTGTATAGACGCCATCTCACGCAGCTCCCAGATTGCCGACCACAATCTCGCTAAAATCACCTGACACAGGGGCCATCCGGCAAAACAAAGTGCATTTCCAGCAGTACGACGTTGGGGCGAGCAGTTTGATGCCCTTTTTTCAAGCCGCCAAGCAATCCAGGCAGCGGCGCAAAACCGCGGCCTACCGGGCCACACCAATCCTTAGCCTCGAGGCACTCCGCGGCGGACAGGGAGCGGGTCGCGATTACCCAGTCTGCCCCCTGCAGGACGCACCAACCATGGGCCGACGCACCCCTAAACCCACGGCTGGAAATACTACCCAAGGTAGGGACATAGGGGAAATGCTGCTCCGATCAAGTTATTATTTTTTCAAGACCTCACCAGAGCCACGTTACTTAGACGCAAATCTTTTGGCCCAGTAACGTCCACTCTACGCAAAGCGAACATACCATATAGATGGGGGAACACCGGCTCCTTAATTGTCCATCATGCTGGGACCACCCACAACCTTACCACCCCCATGGGAGCCCCAGCCTTCCTGTCCGCAATGGGCTTGGAGCCGAATCAACCGCCTACCACAGACGACAATCAAGATGTCACCTGGGACCCAACACCCAACACCTCAACCGGACAACGGGCGGAATACCCACAGCGCCCCAACACCTGACCCTTATCTGGGACTGAGTCAACCTGGCCGCTGAACAACCATCTAGCCATCGAAAACCACACCGACCAACTACTTGCTTGGACTTTTACCCACACCAATTGAGAGTTTCTCATGTTCAGTTACTTTTTTTTTTTTCTTGTATGCACATGCTAACAACACACCCCAACTTCTGGCATAGGTACCACTACCCCCAAACATAACGGGGTTTATACACTTCTCTCACCCAGCAAGCCACTGGCCTCTAAGACCCAGGCAATCTGGCAACAAGAAGCGCCTTAAACACCCCCCCTTAGGTTAGGGGTAAAACTAAGCGTGCCAGTCCACCACCAAGTCATCGACTGGATCAACGTCCACACGAACATGAATATAACTCAGCATACAGTACCCAGTAGGTACACACACCCTGGCACTACTAACGCACATAGACGCCAACCTGTCACCACACATGTGTAGGCTCCTACGCAGCCCTGCAGCCTCATGCACCACAAAGGAGCATAAACCACACCCCAGGCCTGTAGTACCCCGGGAGCGCAACACAGTCCGATCACTAACCTGCAGACATCTAGCTAGCCCCGGGTTTGTTCCCAAACATGGCCGAAATAAAAAAAAGTGCTTACCATACGCATTTCACTGTAAATCCTAACACCAACCCCACATGCTAAGAGATTACCTGTTACTGTTGAATATTTGCAAACTTATGATCTCATGAAATGCTGAATGTAACTCGCATGTACAACTGCGCACAGAAAAATAAAGAATTAAAAAAAAAAAAAAGTAGAAGACAATCAACGTTTCGGTCCACACAGGGACCTTCCTCAGGATCAAGTGGTATATACTACTTGATCCTGAGGAAAGTCCCTGTGTGGACTGAAACGTTGATTGTCTTCTACTTTTTGATGGAATAAAACACCACTTTTGAATTCTTAAGTCCGTGAGTGCAGCCTGCTTTTCTCTACTAACTACATTTAACATCCCTAAAGGACTGGCACACGGCGAGCCTCATAAGGCACAGTTTATCATATCAAGCGTGAGTGCAAGGAACTTTTGTATCTTATATATATATATATATATATATATATATATATATATACATACAGTATTTGTATAATGCTATCATATCTCCCCTGAGGCTCTGTTTTTCCAAACTAAAGAAATGTGAAAATTGACCACAATTTAGTAAATAAACGCCTTAGTGTTGTCAGAGTATTTATATCGGCAGACATTTTGTGCTATGATAGAAACTAAAAGTGTATATTCTGAGTCACTCTGAACAGACCAGACTCCATTTTGTTATTTCAAGTTAACAAAGAGACACAGTATTTCTATCTGTAAGCTAACCACTTTCCCAGAGCTGAGGAATGCATAGTATATACAAGACAAGTGATAAGGAAGGGGGTTGGACAGACTGTCTAATGCTAATGGAATATAATCAAATCTAAACCCAGACAATTGTGACAGAGAAGATTAAATAATTTAATATTTAACTGTCTATATATATATAAGGTACCATTGTATGGAAAAGGGTAAACTTAGTTCATGATCTGTCATATCAGAAATTATAGCAGATTTGCAGACACATAGTCTGGACAAAATTTAAGAACCCCTTTGATCTTTGAAGGATACGTAAGTTATAGTGGTCATTTGAGATAAGCAAAATGACGTCAAAATAGCCACCAGGAAAAGTTAACTCTTTCCTGGATAGGTATGTTTAGTGGGACAAGACTGCCCTCTACAGACCAAATAACTAATTTGCGATCTGGAAGATAACCACACCTCTAGTGCTTCTATTGGGTTATCAACTGATGACGTACAGAGAGTCTGGCCCTTTAAAAGTTAAGACAAAGGGAAGATAGAGAGATACACGAGAGGAGGCAGATGCAAGATATGCAAAGGAGAGGAGAGAGGAATTGGAAGTTTGGGGATTCCAACCTCCATGCAGAGAGAGACATCCAAATAAGTTCCTGAGGCTACCAATCGGATGAAATATCTACTCAACTGGTAATTATACTGGTTTCATTAAATTAAATTAATTAAAATGTATTAATAGCATTATATATGACTGGATAAAGCACGGTCAGATTTCCATATTAAGAAATCTTAGTTAACTAAGAATATATAGTTATAACCATTCCATTCTGCAGGTGGAATTAAGAATAATTATATATTGATGTGATATTATCACATGTTAGCATACCGCTGTTTTTATCCAGGTGTATTGATTTGCTCTAACTTAAGATAGATATCTTTTAGACAAATTAAAAATCTGCTTATATAATGTGGTAAATTCTCTTATTGGATGAGTTTAAGAAAATGAATTTAAACTGGATTAAATGTTATTTTATTTAAAATGACATCAGAATAGATCTTAACTACCTAGGAGATCTAGCCAGCATTGAAAGGGTTATTCTAACTGTCTGCTAAACTTTACGACCTTACGCTGCACTCTGAGGAATTCTGTTCTTTGCTGTGAAAAGTTTCACTTTCAGCCTGTGTTAAAGATAGTCATAAATAATTCTTGACAGGAAATGCTGTTTAGCCATTGAAACGTAATACCCATTCCTTTGTATTGCATATAATTTTGTACTGGATATTCATTGATTATTGTCATGCATGTTACATAATATTATTTGTTAATTATTGGTTATCATAAATAAAAATCTATTTTTATACATTGTGATTATTTATATGAAATACTTTCCACTTAACACGATAAACGTTCTTTGGGATCTGAGAATTGAATTAGTGGGCAATTCTCACTGTTACTATTATTATCCCATAAATATCCCCACATATTGGAGGCACGGTGCTGAGATCGTTTAAGTTGAAATTGTATTTCATATATAATAATAATATTGGTGTAATTCATGCAATTTAATCTTAATATAGAAAAGAGTTTTGTATTGAGATTAATCAATAAAATAAAAATAAAAATGGCCAGTGGCAGTGATAAATCTGTAACAGATAATACTGAAATAATTGAAGACCTAAGAAAACATGCTCTAGTTCATATTCATAAACATATGAAAAATGATGCAACCTATGAGGTTTGGTTGAAAAGCATAGAATGGGAAGCTAAACACACCATTCTAACTGATGAACACATCATCATATATCTTAAAGAAATTGCTGAACAAAAGAACATAGAAAGGAAAATGGCGTACATAATACACTCTTGGCCTTTCTTTATGACAGCACTTCTTAAGGTGTGTGATGAAAACAAGTCATTGAATGCCAAATTGGACACGTACAGTGACGATTTGGGCATTCAAAATGGGAAATACCAAGATTTACTTGCTGAGCATAAAACTCGTCAGGCTGATCATGAAAAAGAAATGAAAGCTTTGATGGATAAATATGCACAGGAAATAAATCAGCTTAAAATGCAATTGGATGAGTATGAAAAGGAGAGTCAGAAATTAGACAGTGAGGTTGGTAGTCATCATTCTGTGCCAAAAAGTTGCACAAAAATGCAAGAAAAGACTATTTGTAAATCCCCTCCTTATTATGATTTTCCCACACCAAACCAGGTTTTCATAAAACAGTCTGTAAGTAAAGAGGTGAGTAATTCTGAGAAAACACCTGTAGGTTCTTGGCAATCATGGGCAGAACAGTTTGAAAAGACTGTCCTGGCCATGCTTGACAGAGAGAGTCCAATTCAAGGTGATAGGAATGAAAACAGACATGGTTCTGTACACTGGCAGGATTCTGATGCTGATCAGAATTGTGACAGTGAACAAGAAGCTCAGAGTGATGGGAGTGAAAGTGATTGCACTATCCACTCTGAAGGCCATGTAACTGATATGCCATCTGCACTGTTGTACGGGTCTAATTCCTCTTCAGCAGACAGATCGCATAGACGTTTACCCAAACACAGAAACAGAGGTCCTAAATCAACGACGCCTGTTTATGAAACACCAAAGGTCATCAAATTCCTTAGAGAGACTGTCCCACAATTTTCTAGAGGTT